ACCGACGGACACTCGGGGGTTCGGTGCCGCGCGCAACGGGTGTGTGGTTAGCGACGGACTACGCTCACCGAGCCCCCTGCCGCTGCCCCCCACGGGCCAAGGCTTGAAGCTTGACAGTCGGTCGGTGACAGAAAACGCGAGGGGGCGCACCTCTGTCCAGGTTGACGGTGGAGAGAGAGCAGGCGAGCGGGTGGCAAGCAGGCGGCGGCGGAAAGAAGCAAGAGAGGCAGGCACGTGCCTCTCTGAACTCAGCACGTCCGCCCAACCTGACATACTCCACCCCCTCCCGAATACATGTTGCGATCTCCTCGACCGCTGTCAGCTCTCAAAACAGCTGCACTGAACGACTTTACCTCGGCGAGCGCCGCTGTGGGGCGGGGGCTTCGCGAGTTCCTTTCGGAGCGCCCACTATGGCCCCCTCCCCTCACGGTTCGACCCTCGGTTCGGCCGACCACGCTGACTCTCGAGCTGTCTACAGTTGCGCGCGTCAACTGCTTTCAGTGAAACCTGTTACGCACTGTCTGAAATCTATTGTCAGCGAGAGAGTGGGCAAGCGGGCGGGGCAGCACGTGCAGGCAGGCGTGCGCACGAGAGAGCAAGAGAGGCGGGCTGTCGCTCTCTCTGACTGTTGCTACACAGCCTCGCTGCTAAAACCTCCGCTGCCCGACCAACCAATCCCAACGCCCAACGTTCCCTCTGAAGGTGGCCGACAGACACACATCCATGGACCAAGAGAGGCTGCCTGCATAAAAAACTGATTCACACGAAAGTTAGGCCTACTGTGGCGCAACTCTGGAGGTCAGACGGCTATGGAATGCAAGCTCATTCAGCGGACGTGATTCCAGCTCAGCTCGAAACTGACGGTTGAGCTGGGGGTTATCTGTATACCGCCACGGGACTGCCCAACGAGGAGGGCACGCATTAACCATAGCACCAGCCACAAGCAAGGACTTCGCAAAGCTCGAAACACTGGCAACATAGGTGGAGAGATCAAAGCACGGCCGCACAAGTACCCCACTGTCAGCCTGCTAGCCTGTCACCACCCAAGACGGTGGTCCACCCAAGTGCCGTGTGCGTGGCGCGGGTGTCTGTGAGCATCTAATAGGGTGAGAGAAAAGAGACAACGCAAGGCTCGAAAGACGAAACATTTGTGAGAGCAAGGCCAGGGCTGACAAAGTGCCTGACTGAGAAAGCAATCCCTTGCCCATCCACTACCTACCCCAGAGGCCCTCCGCCCAACATCCTATTTACTCTTGCGCATTATCAAACAGCCCTACCCCGAAATCGGGTTGGAAAGTCCATGGGGCTATTCGCTGAGCGAGTCGAATCCGACGTCGCTCTCTAGCTTGCGCACGCTTGGTAGCAACTCGGGTACGCAACTCTGGTGTAATCTCAACGGGCTGTGGGGGCGGCGGGGGACACGGAGATTGGGAAACGGGTACAAGGGGCGGAGCAAGCGAGCCAGGTGGTGGCAACTCAATGCCATCCAGGAAAGCAAGTACATCTGCATATTCCTGTTCCTCTGAGGCCTCGATCGGGCCGGGGTCCCGCGGCTCCGCAGTGGAATCATGCACAACGCCTGCGTCTGCGACCTCGGTGGCTGGCGATTCGGGGGGGAGGAACCTGTGGCGCTCTGGATCGGCACGCACCTTCCGGGGCCGAGAATCGACAAAATCGGGCGCCCAAGACTCGTCAGTGCCGAGATATGGGTCCCATGCTACATAAAAAGCTGACAGGGACCCACGAAACTCCTCCTCCTCCTCCCTCATGTCCTCTGGCAGTGTATCGTCTCCACACGTCACACACATATGGTTGATCGCGTCTGTGATACCGTCGGCCAATGCTCGACATAGAGCAGGAGGGTATGTCTTCTTCTTGGCAGTGCGCCACTCGTCTCGGGCCCGATCGAACCCCATGAGTACCTCGTGGGCCCCCCGTCCGTGAGAACATCTTCCACGACCTGGGGTCTCCAGAAGCCTGCCAGAAAGGGTTTCCATCCGCAGCGCCAGAATGCGGGTGGGAGCTCGAGCAACCTGGCCGTGTTCGCATTGGTCGAAGTCTGTCACGGTCGCGGCTGGGGAGGCCATGATGGCCCGTAGGGGGGGGGCAAAAGAAAGAACTCACTGCTGCCTGTCTCCAGTCGGCTGGCATGGGATGCTCCAGCCAGCAGCAAGTGCCCACAATCAAATGTTCGGCGAAAAGTTCAATCATGGCTCCAAGGAGCTCATTGCCCACACGTAGCTGTTCCATCTGGCGCGGCGTAACCGATAGCAGGCCCCAGAAATCGTCGTGGGAACGTAGTGGTGGGGGGCCCTTGTCAAGGGCCCAGCGTATGGCAGCCCATGTTTCGCACGGGGGCCCTCCTCCTGACAGCGCAACACGTTTTGCACGTATGTGTTCCTTCCAAATGTCTAGGGATTCACGGCGCATCATATTGCCAAGAACGGGATCGATAGCGATATCGATCGAAAGTACGTATACGGCGAAATCGGTATGGTACTCCTCCATTTCTAAGCAAGCCTGAATATCCCCAAGACGGCGTCTCCCACAGTATAGGTTTAGTATGTAGTACTCTGACCGTCGGATCGCTGACGGCAGAACCTGAGCAGCTGCATGTGTATACTGCT